TCTGATAATAGGATGGGCACCAATTCCCATTGATCATCTGCTGCAAGTGACACTCTGCAAGTGATTTTAACTCAAAGATGTGCTTGGGAGATGACCATTTTATACTGTGGAAAAATTATTTAGAAAATAAATTTTAGTTCAAAGATTAGTTTCTTTTTCAAATACACTAAATAAATGTATTGCATTAGAATAGTACTTTTTTAAAAATTATGCTTTAGAGCAGCTATGGTGTGGAGAGAGTTATAACCCCTCACCATTGAGATGGGCAAAGTCTCCAGTCTCCTAACATATGTGATGATGTGATGCAACTTGAAGCCATTCTTTAGATATGGACTAGGTTTATACATGATACTGTGTATGGATGTAGTTTTTTTAAAAAAAAAAACTTGTACACACTCACATTCAGTGGAATTAGAGTAACTCAGTTTGACAAGGCTTCTAAATGACCTTTCAAAGAAGCCTTGATTTGCTGCCAATAAAGGCCTCACAAGGTTGAAATGAGACATTTGAGATGATAGGTCTCCGAGGTAGAAACTGAAGAATGCCATCTCAGATGATGTCATCTAGGAAGAAGCTACACTATTGGGAACTATCCTAACCTTGTGAGCCATGTGTGTAAGAAATACATATGGACAGATAACCCATCACATAAAAGGCAGTGCCTAAGCAGAAATATCCCTTCTTTGTTTGAATGGTTTGAACAAACTAAGATATTGCTTGTCTTATTGTATCAGTCTACTTCAGGTACCACTTCAGAGGGATAACAGGATTCTGCAGGCACACATTGGAAAAAAGAGTCCAAAGATACTTGTTTTGACCTATATCCACCCTGGTGAAATATATCTTTAGATTGTGGAAAGATAGCCCTTGATGTCTTTCATCTTTTAACACTTGATCTTGTATTGTCCAAACTTTTGACCAAAATCTGGCACACAAAGATTTGTCTGTCACTATAATAAGGTCATCCATGGCATGAGAGAGTTTGTGAGAATATGAGAAAGCAAAGAGATTTCTGGACAAAATTTAAGCATAAAATTGGAGGATGGACACCACTACAAATAGGGATTCTGAAGTAGATGACAAGAAGAATGAATAACTGGGACAATACGAGTCAGGGATTTGTTCCCTGATGACAAAGGACAAGTAAAACAAGAGATTTCATGTTTTGGACCTCACTGGGGACAGATCTCCTGATATAAATGCTGAATATTTTGGTGCATTAAGTTGTTGGCTGAGTGAGCTTGGATCTGAAAAGCCCAGTAGTAATATTGCAAGGACTCCAAGCAAGGATATCAATGTCAGAGTGCAGGTAGAGTCCAGCATGGAACCAAAAATGAAACTTGTGCAAACCAGTTTAAAGATGGTTTCTTGTCCATGCATGAAGTGGAAGTTTTCTACATTCAAAGGCAATGACAGCTTTGTTGACAGCTGGGACAGTGGGTGTACTTCAAATGTATGATGACTGGGTAACTTATCTGAACCTCTGAGATGGTGGGTGTACTCCAGATGTATGACAACTGGGTAACCTATCTGAAGCATCATACCCAATATGATCACCCTTCTTCAAGCTGTAGATGGAGTACTGGTTACAAGGAAAATGTAACAAATGGACAAGTGTATATACCGTGTAGGGACATATGGATGGACAGATGGATGCATAATGTTTAGACATAGATGGGTAAAGCATGCAACATATATGGACCAACAGATAGAGGGATCCACTATGCAGGGACATACAGACAGATGCACCATGTAGAGACAAATAAAAAACATGGAAACATCTTGAAGAGACAAAATGATGGACATGACATAATGCACTACACCATCAAAGGTGTGTATCATTTGAATATGCCACTCTATATATTATATCACTTGACTCCTTGTGCATATTCCATTTTCAATGGACATCCTACAACTATAATAAATTACCATCATTTTCATCTTCAACTTCTCCATCCTCCATATAGTCTCCAGTTATGTTGACCTCTGAATCAAATGGCATAATTTAAACATTTTCAGCATGTAATGTGGTCAATCTGGCCTAGATGGAACAGTAGCACAGTTTAAGAGTAACTGTGCATACCTATTTGATGTTAGAGAGATAGCTTCAGATGAAAGGTAAAATATGGGTAACTAGATTTGTGTTTGTAAAACATCAACACTCCAAAATCAGAGAAAAAGTTAAAGTCCTAAAGATTTGAAAACCTAATAAATTTTAAAGTTTTTAAATAACATTAAAATATATTCACATTGTGCACATATGTATATATATACACACAAATATATCTATATATATATATATATATATATATATATATATATATATATATATATATATATATATATATATATATATATCTATCTATATATATATATATATATATATATATATATATATAAATGTGTATGACCAGTTTTGCTTTATTGCTTCATCAGACTTAATTCAAAACGAATTCAATACCATTCTTTACGTCATTAAATATACTATGATAAATAAACAATACGACATAAACAAGATGATGTCATATCTCACATTTATTAATATTTAAAAACAATAATACACATAAAACTGGATTGTAAAGATACATATATCTCTATTGTAAACAATGTAATAAGCTTTTGATGGATAAATAGAGATAAACAGTTTTATTCATATTTTTATTTTTATGTAAAAACATAAATACACATAACACTGGATCGTGTTGGTGGAGTTTGATGTAGCAATAAAGTAAAACTGGTAACACATTCTACTTGTTGGTGTTGTTTTTTTTATATATATATATATATATATATATATATATATATATATATATATATATATATATATATATATATATATATATATATATATATATATATATATATATATATATATATATATATATATATATACACACACACACACATGTGTGTGTTTCACCATGAAGTATGATCTAATGTCCTACAGGGAAAATAAGCCAAGAAAAATTAGGTCCTACATAGTTACCAATATATAAAACAACTATTTATGAAATATACAGAGCACAACAAATATGTCATTAAAAAATATGATTTTAGGGTATAAGATATTATAAGGAATAAAATGACTAAAAAAATATGAGGTTATAAAAGTTTAAGGTCAATGGGCCATTGACCGGGTGCTATGAAATGAGGTATGGAAAAATATGCAAAGATTTAATCAAAGAGAAAAGAAAGTACAAAATTTATACACTCCACAATATTGTATTTTATTCAAATATTTGCATAACTAGTGAGTCAAGGGGGAGTCAGAGATTAGGATACACTTTATTTGCAAAATATTAAAATTTCCATTATGCCAAAGGGAAAGCTCAAAGAAACATGTAATTCTATAATGTACTACAAATGCATAAGAGATGGAGGATATCAAAAATATGATTCAACAGAACACAATGTAAAATGACAATACTTTAAAAAATAATTAAATAGAATACTAGTTAAAACAATAAATGGTAGCTTAATTTGTCACAAACTCCAGTCTATCATCCATCCGATGATGGTAATCTTGTTGTTTTGTGTACTAAGCCAAAATATTATCATTGTCTTGAGGTACAGTATATGATAATTTCACAGGGTACACATTAGCACTATACTATTGGTTCATTACATTATTACTTCTTTTGATGAATGAAAATTATATAATAGCTACCATATTTGTATTTAATTGCAATGAAGCTTACTACAGAAGAGAAAATCTGACTTGACTGTAATATATGAAATGTAAAATCTGCAAGGAAAACACTTGCATGAATTCACACTTCAAATACAGCATATTGCTTATTTGAGGTGAATTAATATAGATGAAAGTAAATTGGCTGTCAAGTCGGTGAGGGAAACACTCACAATGACTTATACAACTAATAAATTATAAAATAGAAATCTAAATAACTTATATTTAATAAACTGTTAGATTGTTTAAGTATTGTTTCATTGAATTTAGAATGTCAAGTCGGTGATGAAAACACTCACAATAACTTAGACAACTAGTAAACTAAAGATAAGAAATTTAAATAAATTATGTTTTTATGAAATGCTAGATTAATCAAGCATTGTTGAATTAGCTTTAGAATGTCAAGTCGGTGAGGAAAACACTCACAATAACAAAGACATAATTTCCCTAAGAACATTGTAGGACCTTTAATTTAAGAAAAAGAATTATATATTTGTAGAGAAACTTCTCTGTATGTTTTTAGCATTCTAAAACTAATCAAGTAAATAAAATGCAGGTTATGTATGCATGTATGTATGTATGTATGTATGTATGTATGTATGTATGTATGTATGTATGTATGTATGTATGTATGTATGTATGTATGTATGTATGTATGTATGTATGTATGTATGTATGTATGTATGTATGTAAGTATGTATGTATGTATGTATGTATGTATGTATGTATGTATGTATGTATGTATGTATGTATGTATGTATGTATGTATGTATGTATGTATGTATGTATGTATGTATGTAAATGCTAACAGAAACATGTAAACATGCCAATAATATTTTCAACGAAATACGTGTCACGCGTGCATGAAGGAAAGTCTTATTATTATTTTGGGGTGTGTTTTTGTTGCATTTAAGATGTTTTTGTCCAACGCTCCCGACAATGCCAGGGAACTAGGTTTAGAATTGTACAAATTTTAATATCATAGGGGACACTCTTCCCGATGGATATCTTTAAATGTCTATGTAGGACCTAATTATTCATCCAATATATATGCTAAAATAGAAAATCGGCTATTATAATTAGATAAGGCATACATAATGCATTTAAAATATTTTGTGTAAAACATATTAACGGCTACCAAGGATTTGCAGAATTTACAGTTAGGATGGAGGATGAAGGTGCCCACAAATTTGGTATAAAACGCTACTTTATTTCCTCCTATGGTGGGAGTGATCACTCATGTAACACTAACCTCTTAATGCTGACCGTCAAGCGAGGCAGCTGTTTGTACCATTTTTGAAAGTCTTTGGTATGACTCAACTGGGGATTGAACCCATGACCTTCCTCATCTGAGATGGATGCTCTAACCTCTAGGCCACCGGAGCGATTGAGGCCATCATTCAACCATCTTGAAAGTTTTGTTATTGCTGTTCCTTCTAAATGGTTGTCCACATTTAAATGTATTTTTCACAGAAAGACTTATAATGTCTACATGTAGCCGGTTCAAAATAAATATGGAATTGTTCTTACATCGAATATGGCCACAGCAGCGGGGAATTTGAAAATCTTTTTTATTGCTGAAAATGTCTGAGATGGCTTCAGCACTCAACATTTTAATTCCTGGAAATTTGTTTTGGTCTCAACGATCATCATGTTCAGTCATCAATTATTTACTGCATATTTTTGTTCAAGATAAAAGAGGATATAACCCTGTTTGCTATTGATGAATGTCCATATGAGGTTTGTCATTGCATAACTGCTGTTAGTTATATGACTTAAATGAGAAAAAGGATTGTTTCTTTGATTCTTCTGTCTTGGGTAGGATCAGCCTATCTGTGTGTTTGTTTATGTATGTTTGTGTTTGTTTACTTAACTGTGCAGTCTTAACTTTGCAGTCTTAACTTGCTATGATCAAAAGTTCCCAAAGTCTCAAAAGAGCTAAGATGCTTATGAAGGATTTAAAGCCAGTTCTCAATCAAGTAAAAAGGTTCCTTTGGAGTGTACAAGAAGAACTTAAGTTCGATGTTTTACACAGAAACTCTAAAAGGCAAAGTAAGCACCCTCGCCAGATTGCATCTTCAATACACAGATGACACCTTGAGTACATTTTAAGCATTTTAAAGGGCAGCCTTGTTTAAATAGCAGTGTAGTGTTCAGTTTATAATAATAATAATTGCAATTATAATTAAAATATTGGTAACCATTTTATTATTATTATTATTTATTATTATTATTATTATTATTATTATTATTATTATTATTATTATTATTATTATTATTATTATTATTATTATTCTCTATAATTGATTAGCTTACATAACACATACTTACAGGAGAAAGGCTTCAACAAAATAAAAATGTATTTTTGTTTGTATCATCTATTAAGACATCTATAAATAGCATACACAGCTTCATCTCTAAAAAGTCAAGTCAGATTTGATTATAATTTATATATTAATCTGATAAGAATAGAAAATGTTCATTAATTAGCGTTTGTGTTCATGCTGTTTGACAGATGACAAATGTTGTAAAATATAAATGCTACAGTTATTTATAGCTTTTCTTAATGAATGGACAATAAATAGTGAGTCATGTATAATGAAGAAATTTGACAAGATGAAGTCATTGTCTGTAAAGAGATTGGAAAAATAAACCCATTATATTTACTCATTTACATGCTAAGTGCAGTTCGCTGAATGAATACACAAAGAAACAATATCCTTTTTAAATCATCACATGATCATCACATGACAATTTTGGTTAGAAAGACAAAAAGAAAGAGCAATTGAAGTTGGCAAGATAATTCCTTTGATTGTATCTGCTCAACAGCATGTCAAATGCTATTCATTGAGTAAACACAGCTGTGAGCATTTGAAACAACCAAAGACTTTGACCAATTAATTATTACACAAATTAAGCACATACCAGTACATTTGCTTCCAAGAGATTTTCATTTAGCTAGATGCCTTGTTGTCTTGCAGATTGCTGTTTCTGATTGGCTAGTTTGCTTGCACATGTACAGAAGGGTAAAAATTGGACTTGTGTTTGCATATTGGACTTGTCTGCATTGTATCCAGGCCACATTATTACTTCAAATTTCAAACTTTTACTACTTTTTGTAAAGGTTTACCTATCTTTGTGCAGTTCAGACTGGTCTGTATTAGATATTAGACCAAAAAGTCCAATATCCAGACATAAAATTCAGTTCTGACAACAATGTCTGGTGTATAAATTAAAGAAACAGGTCTCAGAAAATAAGTTTTTACATTAATATTTTATAAAGCGGTTTAGAAAGTCCAGAGTAATTGATAATTGTAGAGCTTCATCTATTCTGTAATTACCACCCACTTTTGTTGTATCACATATGATTGCAATACTACAGATTTCAGAAGTAGGGTGCAATCTGCACATAAATGTGGCACTATGGGTTAATGAATTAGCAGGGTTTTCTTCTGTATAGGAAATTCATGGTACTTTCATTTCTGCTTCTGCTGCCAAGAGTCATAGAATTCAGACTGAAATATATTCCAAAAACATGAATAAAATTTCCTTCTGAATGCTGAAAGGTATATAAAAAGGCTACATAAATATACTGTGTTAGTTTAGCATTTAGAAGAAAGTGGAAAATTTCAAACTGGCTTTTATATATTTCTTTATATATTCCTTCTAGGCATTGTTACTGGAGGAATCAGTATGATAAATGTACAATATTTACTTACATATAGATCAGGTCTATCTGCAAATAACATAGACCCAGATCTGTCATGACATAATTTGCTGGCAGATCAGGTTTTTTCTACTTGCTGGCAGATCAGGGTCTCTTCTACTTGGTAATCCTGACAATCTACATAGATGCTGATATGCTTGCACATTATGTGATAGAAAATCTGGATCTATGTGTTTTGCAGTTGGACCCAATTTGTATGCAAGTATGGTTCTTGTAATAAATTAATTGATTTAAACTACCTAAGTTAAGTGTACAAAGAAAAATGGTTAAAGGAAACCCTTCAGGCAATTCAAATGAAGTTAGATTCCATCTCCAAGTGTGAGTGATTCATTTTATTCAGTGAAATGAATGGTCTGTATTATTCCAGGATGGAAGAAGTACAAGGTTATGATGACTACTTTCGGACTTTGCTCATATTCATATCAAATCAAAATAGCATTGCAAAAGAGAAAGAAGTGAAACAGAAAATTGTGAAGGTTCTCTCAGGATGCCCATATGATTATGATATTAAATTTAGCACCAGACCAAAAACATTTGCAAACCCAAAACAAGGTGGAGCTAGCAATCAGATGCAACAGTTGAACTTCAAAAGCTGGGAACGAATTATGTTGGTAAAATGAAAAGGGCCAGTTGATACATGGAACACTTGATATGTTTATTCAGAGAATCAATGGGCTATCTGTTTATTTTGTTACGAATGGACATGTGGTTATTGGTGAAGGAAAATGCTACAATTCTGTCAATGATGACTATTATGAAGAGTTAGGAACAGATAAATGGGACCATTATAATGGATTTATAGACATTGCTGCTGTGAAAGTGAAAAGCAGCATACTTGCCCACTGCATGCTTCACTATGAAAATTATTATGGAGAACAGCACTCAAATGTTACATTCAAAAATGGTGAAGATTCACTTGACAGTCTAGTTGGAAAGAAAGTTTTCAAGCAAGGTGCAGAAACAGGACTGACACTTGGCATTATTTCATCAAAATCAGTGCAGATGAAGAAAGAAGGAATGATAAAAACATACAATACATTAATAAGTCTTCTCTCAGAGTCCAAGCCAGAAGAGGGTGAGTTTGCCAAAGAAGGAGACAGCTGGTCCATTGTTTCCCTTTACAGAGCTCCTAAAAATACTGCTGTAATAGTGGCAATGATAACAGGGGGATTTGATCTAAGACCAACTCTGGAGGAACAAAACCTCAGCAACAGTGGGGACAACCAAGCCGCCAAGCAGAATGCAGAGAAACTGTGTTTTTCATTTTCCTTGATGGAAGGTGTTAATGCACTGAATAAAAATCATGAACTTGACTTAAAGATATAAAACATAAATGTGTTGGGCCAAAATGCTGTTTAATTGCATCTACTTGAAGAACAGAAGAGCAAATGTTATAGACTTGGGTGTTGTTGTCATCAACATTGTATCACAGTGTTCAAGTTATATTTTCATTTTTGCCATCACCTCTTACATTAGGATTTTGTTTTTGTTTTCCCCATTAGATAGTATATGTATGTTACTGTGACCGATTTTTCTTAAGCTAATTATTTTTTATGGGTTAACCCCAGTGTTAAATTTCCTTGTATGACTTCAGTTTGTATTCTTTATATCTTTTTTTAAATTGGTCAGAATATTACTTTGCTGTACATAAATCGCTGCTGGGGAAATTGTTCACAGTGACCTATATTTCATACAATATTATGTTATTTATAGAATAAGGTCATCATTAAAAATTTGTTTTTTTTTTATATCATGCACAAATAATTGGGTTCTTTGTCTGGTGATATTAGGTCATCCTGACCAACTGTTCTGACAATTACCTTTTTATTGATTGATTAGTGTATATTTTTTATTTATTGGATTATCCAGTGTTGAAGCCTTGTTTTCATACCTTTATGTATGTTTTTGGCAGTATCTTTCAATGGAACATAATAAGGTATTCATTATATCATTTTTAAACATAATGAGATGAATGTAGGTACCAGTTACATCAGAATATTATTTTGTCAAAAACTTTTTTGTTTAACTTTTATCCTACTTTTATATCATTGAAGGCATGATATGTTCCAGTAACTTGGTCAGGATATCACTATTGTTTATTTTCCTAGCAAATCTCTAGATGTAGGCAGCATATATTCAATGGAACTTACAGGCATGATTAGAAATTAAGTCCATTCTTCTCTTCTTTTTTCTCTCTCTTCTTTTCTTTTCTGGCTGCTGCAAGTGAGGGGTGTTTTTTTTGTAAAATTTCATTTGACTAAAGTTCCACTATTGAATCAAAGCACTGTATGTTTAGTTGGGTGGAATGTGTGTCTTTATTTCATTTGACTAAAGTTCCACTATTGAATCAAAGCACTGTATGTTTAGTTGGGTGGAATGTGTGTCCTTATTTCATTTGACTAATATTGAATCAAAGCACTGTATGTTTAGTTGGGTGGAATGTGTGTCCTTATTTCATTTGACTAAAGTTCCACTATTGAATCAAAGCACTGTATGTTTAGTTGGGTGGAATGTGTGTCCTTATTTCATTTGACTAAAGTTAACTATTGAATCAAAGCACTGTATGTTTAGTTGGGTGGAATGTGTGTCCTTATTTCATTTGACTAAAGTTCCACTATTGAATCAAAGCACTGTATGTTTAGTTGGGTGGAATGTGTGTCCTTATTTC